GAGCTGACGTTATAAAATAGAGTCACATGGAGATGCAAGGCAGTATTGTACCGGGAGAACTTGGAGTTCTGGTCTCCAAAAATAACGATAATAAACACACATTTAAGCTCCTTGAGCGGACCAAATGGCTAAGTGCTTGATTACTAGTTGAAAAGCTGGCAGTTCGAGCCCACCCAAAGGAACTTTGGAAGATGCCCTGCTGTGCACACATGGGGGTGCCGTGAGCCAGCTGTGATCACTGACACTAACCGACGATGACACAAGCATAATCAAAGGGAGCAGGCAGAAGAAAGGGAGGGGAAACAACAGAGCGGTGGACATGTCCTCTCTCTGCTTGTCTGCCTCTGGGCTGAGTCCTTCTCCATGGCCCTGTTCACCCTCCAAGGTCACCTTCATGGGTCTGTGGTTTTTTGTTTGCTTTGGTCGCCCCGGAGCCTAGAGCAACCCCTGGCTCAGATGTGGTGCTCACGCAGCTCGGATGGTCCACTCATCTCTAAGGGAGGGTGGTAGCCCGCAGAAGTGAAGGGGGACAGAAGACCTGGCTGTGGATAAGGGTCATGGTTGACCGACACGGTCAATGTAATGAATGCCACAGAGTTGGAGATCTGAAGAAATGTAGAAATGGAAGTGGCTTCCTTCCACCTCTATTAAGCACGAGAAAATCCCAGCCACATACGTGTTTGTTATGTCACGCGCTGGGTGCCTACCTCTGGGTGGGTGGGTGCCCTTGTGTGTGTTAAGTTTATGCCACGAGTGTCCTTGGTTATTTCCATCGGGGTGTAGCGTTCGTTGTCTCGTTCTGAGTTCAAATAAAAGCCAGGAGATGACGGGCCGCTCAGAAAACAGAGGGGACGACGGACACTGTCTGTGACCAGATTCACATACAGAAATTTTGAGCTGCTGCGTCTCACAGTAGCCTCATTTGCATAGCCTTTTCCCCACCTCTCCTAATTTACCTGCGTCTTCTTTTCTGGTCCTGACATGTAAGCCTTTTCATTTGCATAATTCTGAGAGTTAGTTCAATGACGCTAGTAGCTATCTCTACAACCGACACTTCAATATCATTAAGCTAGCTTTAGTTCAGATTCATCCTGCAACTGAATCGGGTCCTAGGGAAATCAAAGCAATGGCCACCAGGCCTCAGTGCTCAAATGCACCACGCACTAAGGCACCTGCATAATAGTGGCTACTCTTCCTGGCAACTCTAGGAAACAGTCCCTGCTTCCCATATTGTACAGAGAAGTCCTACACTTCAACCCTGTTTTGCTTATTTAACCACCCTTAAAAAAAAGACCGTAAACAAGCGGCCGTCTAGCTCAGAAGCAACAAAGCCCACATGGAAGAAGCACACCAGCCTGTGTGATCACAAGGTGTTGAAGGGATCAGGTATCAGGAATCAAAGAACAAAAAATCATATCATTGTGAATGAGGGGGAGTGCACATTGGGAACCCAAAGACCATCTGTAGGCAACTGGACATGCCCTTATAGAAGGGTCATGGAGAGGAGACAAGCCAGTCAGGATGCAGTGTAGCAATGACGAAATACAACTTTCCTCTAGTTCTTAAATGCTTCCTCCC